TAAAAAGCAAACTTACTTCCTCCAAGTACATTTTCCAGAACAATTGCGTGGTCTGACTTTCATGGCTTCCCTTGGGAGTCTACTCCACATTCAGATTTCAGTAGAAATTCCATCTCTCTATTTCATCCCATCTTCCCTATTCAGCTAGCTTGATGTTTGTCATTACATTTTTCCTTCCCATGAAAAAAACAACAGAAGGGTGGTAGGGAGTAAGGCTGTGCAAGGCTTTGGACAGAGCTTCGGAGCCAGCAGGGCGAAAGCTGCAGGGATGGTAGCCCCTGCTGCGGCCACGACACCTGCCAGCTGTTGAGGAGATTGGTGTAGGGGGGTTCTGGGGCCCTGCACCCCTAGCTACTGACAGACAAAACTCGTGCCACGGGTGCTTGTGCAACTGTGTCTGTCTTGGGGCAGTGGGGTGGGGACTACTGCAGGCCTGGATATTAAGCTACTGTGTTACCAGTTACCAATCAATCATGATTCACTCAAGGACCAGCTCAATACAGAGGACCTAGCTAACCTAGCCAGTAATTTACCATCAATTAACACCTACAAAATGACAGATTAAGGAGAGGAAATAATCAATACAGACAATCAAGTGCCCCAAGACAGAGAGAGTCAGTTGCACAAACACCCATGTCAGGAGTTTTGTCTGTCAGCAGCTAGCGGTGCAGGGCCCCAGAAGCCACAGCTGAGAGGCTTCGTGGCTGCAGCAGGGGCCACCACCCCTACAGATTTCACCCTGCTGTGCCTTAACACACACGCCTTAACACACCATGTCATGAGCTTTGCCTGAAGTTCCCCCCAAACCCCTGCACTGATCTTCTTGAAACTTGGCAGGCTTTGTGGCCTCCCGAGGGGCTACCACCCCTGTAGTTTTGACCCCCCTGTGTTGTAACACATATACGTGACATGAGTTTTGCTTTCAAGAATTTGGGGTACAGCTCCCCCAAAACCCCTGCACCGATCTTCTTGAAACTTGGCAGGCTTCATGGTCTCAGCAGAGGCTACAATCCCTGCAGGTTTCATTCAAATCAGACAAAAACAACAAAGTTATAGATATTTCATTGATTCCCTATTATAACCTATGGCCAGATCTCCAAGGCGGCTCTGAAGCTTCGGAGCCACTTCAGCCACATCGAAGCAGAAACCCGGTCCGCAGCTCCAGATCAGATCCCTGGTATCTGAAGCGGACGGATCCTAAGCCGGATTGGATCACTTCCAACTCACACAGGCCTAGCAGGGGGGGAATAAGGAGGTCCAGTACACAGAAAAGTCACCCCTTTCACCTCTGCAGAGCATGTGGAGAGAGAACAAGCTTAAACATCCATAGGGAAATCTGGCCCTAACTCCAGTGATCTCAATGTCTGCCCTTAAGGGCCTTCCAACCCTTGTGGGGCATATCCAAATATTACTGCACTTACATCCCATGTTGCCTTTCATCCCAGTGTCATCTTATTTGTGTCTACGGTACTTCTCTAGACTGCAGAAAGCATGGAATTTAATTGTGCTCTCAGCAGTTAAGCTCTGTTATTCAAGACATATTAATGTTTGCAAATGGTTCAACACTAAGCAGAAACTGGCCATTTCTCATGACATTTTATATGTTCTTTTTTCCATATTTGCAGTTATTAGAGATTCAGTTGCAAAGCAGATGTGTTGTATGTAATCCAAATCGAAATGCCTTTGTTAAAGGGGGAAAAAATAACCTAAGGATGGCATACATTTCATTACAGTGCATCCTTTCATGTTATATTAGGTTGGAATGTGACACGAATTATACAGTACAATACAATGGGAGCATAATAACATTTATTACAGTGCAGTATGATCTAGTGCAGCGTTTCTCAACCCATCAGTCACGACCCA